TGTACAGACTGCCTGACTGCTGCAGGGGTACAACACGCAGACGCAGTTATATGGTCAGAAGAATATTGCCGTCACGTACGGAAATCTCGTATCCATATATTGCATTAAGAGCCAATTTTTTCCCCTCGCCGACACTAGTTATATACTCGCTGTAGGTTATAAATTCTAAAATGAATTATTGCCATTCCGTTAGGAATCGACAAACCCAAATGAACGGCAGCGAACTCGACCGGTAGAGCATCTGCGCAATACGTATATTTTAAAAGTCAGAGCTGTTGGAACTTTGTACGCACCATGGATTCACGGCACTCAGGGCCTTACATAATTATACATAGCTGTTTAAACACCCGTGGGCGAAATTCGCTGCATCTTTCGTCGGTCCGCGGGGTCGATTGCTGGCAAAATCGATGTTCGGTGCTCTACCCGTCTATTTTTGGCTGTTTCGACGATTCTAAAAACGCGGTTTGTCACGATTCAACAGCTATATGTGTGTTGCGCAGCCCTTAAACTTCTATACTGATATGGGATACATTTATTTGCTGTTCGTTCCAATGTCATTGCACGCCGTTGTCACAATGTAAGCATATAGTTTTAACTACAATAATATTATGTATATCATATTATATGAGAAGTCTGCCGCAGTCACCAGAATGATACCGTATGGGTGAATTAATGATACGTATTTAATGTAATGTAAATTAAATTAAATTATTAAATAATAATTAGGCGGTGTTCATATTATACATTTGTATGTAATCCTGCCGGTAAATAAAGAGATGTGTACATGCTCGGAGAGTTCAGACAAATCGAGAATAAAGGCAAAACGCCTTAATGCTTTATAGTTCATATATTGATAAGATGGATAAAGCAGTCACCGTAAGCACAGTAGGATGCACTCTGAAAGTGCAATAAAAAAAAAAAGAACTACGAGGAACGCAAAAAGGGTTTTTGTTAAAACGAGTAAGCCTTTGGGGGTACAATTTCTTGTTAGCCACAACTATCAAAGGTGCCGGTGGTAAACGTAGCTGGGAAATAATATATTATTATACCAATGGTCCTTTGCCAGCCAAAGGCTTTTAGGTGCCGTGCACATCAAAACACGCGTGCAAAGAATTCAACTGGGTCTCGGTAACGGCCAATACGTTCTCGGGCAAAAAATTGTTTGATAAAATAAAAAAGGGCGAAAAAAAACATTTCACCTGTTATTTTCCAATTCCTATTTTCCATTTGTATTATTTCTCCTCCAGCCACCGACACGTAGCTATCGGTAAATATCAACAGAATAGAAGCTAAAATCTCAGAGACACGTGCGCCATCCATTTATATTATATAGACTACAGTACAAACAATAACATTTTTGAGTTTTGATTCACCCAACAACGCTTGCTAAAGTACTTTTGCATTCTGCATATTATTGTTTGAATAAGTAAATCTTGCAAAATCAATACACGCCATGTTTTCATTTTATTTTTTTCCTTCATGCAAACAAATTCAATTCTAAACTTATATTTTTAAATAATATTGCATGGAATATTGTAATGGGCTAGGTTTTTATACATGAAATATAAATATATATTATATTTATTATACGAGTGTCTAGTGTATACATGCGTTTGTATTTGTATTTTTTTTTTAAAATAAGAAAACACATTGAAATATGATTAAATCGTTGGACTGAAATGTATTTAACTAAAGATACGATGCATTGTTCAAATATTGTACAGAGCTCTGTAACAATATAGCTTAATCTTAAATGTTGATGCTAAGCTGATATTATTGAAAAAAAAATCGATTAGTATTTGTGTGGAAAAAAATAACTGTTTATTAATATGGTGCAATATTAACAATGTTTTGGGGTAGATCTAGGTATACTATACGAATGCGTGTACACTACTATATAATAACGGACTTATCACCAATACATTAAACTTTACGTCAACGAGAAAAAGTAAAATATAGTATATTAATATTTTTCAAAATGTTTTTTATTTTTATATTGTCGACATCATCAAAAATGTATGTCCAAATAAGGAGTATGGAGCCTTCAGTGTTATTTTACATTCATAACACCGAAATTGATTTTATTTTGTGTCAAATGGCGGGTATGTGACGTCATTCAACTACAATACCTATATATATTGCAGAAACTCAATGCATATAAAATAAAAAAATTGTATTATACGTATACCTACTTTAAATGAGAGAAAAGATGGATGTTCTTTGATAAATAATCGAATATTTTTTTTTTTAAATTTCTAACAGATTTTGTATAATTATTTCCGATATTTGAGTTCATATCGATACATATTGTATAAAAACCGTACCAACTATAATATTAAATGTTTGTATGTACCTACACATTATGTGTAGGGTCATAAATAACAATTTCATTGATTTTTGTGAGCTCGAGACCCTCTAGTAATACTTATTTCAAACATTGGAATAATTTGGTTAATAATTATAATTTACATGTAATTAATAATCGATTCCAATTCTGAGTTTTAGTATACAGCTCAAGTACACTTAATTAATTATTATACAATTTCAGTTATTATAATATGGTTATAATATGACGTATTGCTGTACATATTATGGCAAATGTTTAGTTTGCACAAATATTATCCGTTATAAATTTTACTGCATAATAAGATCTGTAAAATCCCATGACACATGTCGAATCTTTATAATATGTCATTTTAAGTAATTAGTGTAGAATATTAGCATGAATGTATAGCAAATTTGTTTATTTACAGACGTAAATTATAACATTTATAATATTATAATTTGTAAATTGTATTTTTATATGATCAGTGTCGGTCTGGCTCGTGATTGAGACCCTAGACCATTTATTTTAAATGGATTACATACTATAAAAAAAGTAAGTGTATTTTAATACCTACATTGCAATTTAATTATTTTTATAATAATAATTATTATTAAGAAACAATTATAATCAATAATATTTTATGTACTTTTTTACATTTGTACAGATAAAAAAGAAAATTATATACCTACCTTATTGTCAAAAAAAAAAATTATTAAAATTGCAGGATTTTCAATTAGTTACTATAAGATCCTAACGTACTTATCAATATCTTATCTTTGTGTTTTTACATTTAATGTCTTTTTCAAGAAGCAGGCCAATTATAAAAAAACTTGGCTTATCGAATATCTAATTTTTAATATTTTATGTTTTTAAAATGCTCGTTCACACTTATCATGTGTACCTACATGAAATTATAAAAATGTGTTTGAATGATATGCAGAATGTGTTGAAAAAAACAACATTTGAAATTATTTGACAAAAATTCGAAATTTCCTAGTGATTCAAACATACATTTTCCTATATGGTAATGGGCCCTCAATGTTGAAAAATATGCAATATCCCTTCCGCGCAATCGTCGGATGGGTCAGACCAGTGCTGAGTATAATGAATATAAATGTGTACGGTATACGGATGGGCTGGGAATAAAAATTTACCCCGGGGAAACAGAAAATTAGGCCCAATTTTGGGCTAATAATAGAATATTTATAAGTTATCAGTCCGAATTTGTTCAAGCAGCCCAAATTTTCATCAGGCACAAGCGGAGATCGCTCACCCGCCGACCGCCACCCTTGCCAGTCCGCCCCTGGCACTATACGGTAACTGCTGATGACGTATCATTTCAATACATCACAATCGTCAGCAAATTGTATAATGATCGTACGGTTAAGGTCGGACGACCGACAGTGTGCACTGAATTTATAATTTAAGTAGGTAATTTAATTCTACTCAATCCTATCACTTAATTCACTTATACATCTTTGTGCACTAACACCGGAGCCTTACCCGTTAATTAGACCACGCGTTTCGACAAGACGCCTATTTGTTTATTCCACGAGTCGCTCCACGAGGAAAGGTACCTAAGTATTTGAACGTAACACACACACACACACACACACTCATAAATAATTGTACAGTGTCATATCTCTTTGACCTGGATCGTTTGAATCAACGACTTCGTTATATAGTGGCACAGCCAATGTGGAGGAGTAATTTGAGCGGCGACGAACGTTTCGCGCCCACGAAAATGATTAACACATCGAGTGCGAGTGTGCGCATGCGTGCTCTTCACTGTTCGACAACGTATTACAGTTTCCGATAGTGTCTCTAGTTATAATTACGTTTTTGTGAGGATTGTTACCGGAAATAACAATAGCAATTATTGTTTTAAAATCACAGTCAATATTGTCCGCGACTCCTGTCGTCGTTTGGCATTTTGGCGTACGTACGACACTTATGTCTACAGCGTATATTGCCCAGAGCAGTTTTTTCTGATTGGATACAAAAAAATCGCCCCGATTTGTCCGTGACAATTGACGTAAATTGCGTTTTTTCCATCACTCGCAAATCGCATTATCATCGCATTATTATATTATATACAATTCATTATTGCGATCAAACCCGAATCACATATTATTATTATTATTACGATTCGTAAATCATCTCGTGTATGATACGATAATTATATCACACCAATTATATATACCGTGTGTGCGCGAGTCCATACAGTCGTACCGACTTATATATGAAATGGTGAACCTAGGTTTTCTTATTAAATAATGTATTTCACAACAGAATTACAACGATATATACGCGTCTTATATACCAAATACGTTTGTACGTATATACCTAATATAATATATATACGGAAGACCCGCTGTATATACTCCCTCGTGATTTTGATTTCGACGATATCGATTTGAATGTACTGTGCTCCTTTCTATAAATATATATATACGCGGTGCATATACGTGCACAATATGTTGTTTGCGCCGGAAAAGTCTCCTTCGGCTCTCTCTCTCTCTCTCTCTACACATATATTTATACTTAAATACATACAGACGCACACGGAGATGTACAACTACAACAGTCGCTATATATATATATATATATATACTATTATCATACGACTGCGCCGTCGTCGTTGATATAATAGAAGTCTACGATTATTACTCACGGTCGGACGGGCATCCTCTGATCTCTGCCCTCAGGCAAACGGTGCGACGGTGAACGCTGTACGGCAATATGCGTACTTGCGATGCATAGACTGGCGGGAGCAGATGGTGCTCGACCACGGTCGAGGTATCCGTGTTGCCGGACATTATCTGAAATAAATCAAACGTATACATGCCTTCAGCAATTTTCAATAGGTGCATTCGGTTTTCTATTCCGAATAATAACATAATATATACATATACCTACGGCTGCTAGGTATAATGTGATAGCTGCAGCCTATATAGGTACTATTGTACAGCGCATAAAATTATTTACTTTCAGAACGTTGCCCCCCCCCCCCCCGATGCGAAGTCAACGCATATTATATTATTATTATAACATCACTGGGAATTGAAAAACCCAAATATAATCATAACACATCATGCGCCATTATATTGTACGAATAAACAAAATAAGTGCCTAGCTAGATCACGCACCGCATAATATTATTATAAGATATATATTATGTAGATATTTACAATGACGGTAAATACCTATCTATATAATAACTTTCAAAGAAAATGTAGTTTTAAAAGATGTTACGACCAAAATAAATAATGTTTTACATTATAATTTGTACGATTTTTTAAATTTAATTTAATACATCTGATTATTTCTATAATTTGAATAATATTAATAAAATATTTTAAAAAAACCAGGCACTTTGCATTCATGTCTGAAATTTGCGGGTTTTCCTTTGGGTTTGCTATAAAACATCATCAGTATGACCCGAGATGGATAATTCGTTAATTTCGGTCGGCAGAAAATTAAAATCCAGTCTTTAATGAGTTATTTTTTTAATTTTCAAAGGCAAAGATTTTACTCGGTTTTTACCAGATTCAATTTTTTTTTATTAGTTTGCTTATTTTAAGGAACTTAAGATTTTATGTTTTGCTCAGTTACAATGAATTTAAAATAAAATTTTATGAACGGAATATTTCACTTTGTCTACACGTTAGATTTAGCACGGCACGTTTCAAAATCCATACTCATGTATTCACTTCAAATTGTTTTAATTGAGAATAAAATACTCTTAAAGCAGTGCTATTAAATATATAGTGTAAGATTTTAGAAATAATTTTTACATATTTTATTTAAAATTAAATTAATATCTGAATAGGTACCTGGCTGTAAAATAAATTAGACTAATTTTGGCTTCATGAAACATGGTACACAGATTGTGGAATAAAAATGAATGAGACCAAGCTCATTCCACTGTACCATCACTCTGCGACAGGAATATGCTATACCAAACTTTTCTCCAACAACCAATATCCATCTTATGCCCAATGCATGCGATACGTTTCCATTTACATTGCTTACCGTGAACTTGGTTACCTCACTTAATAATCAACTCATCTATCTATGTCCTATGCTTACCTTTAAAATTATAAAACTTCCTTCAGTCTACCAACAGATTTACTGCTATAAGGCTCATTTAGATATGTTATGGCATTCAGCTTTAAATCTCCAATAACAATCTTATTAAGAGATTGCAGTCTATAGTTAGGTAACCTATTTAGTTAATAATAAGTACTCTGCAGTGTCACTGAATTAGAAGACAAACCAACTCCACTACAAGCGCTTCAACAACCGACTCTCACAATTCCAATCATCTCTAATCACTCCATTTACAGCGGTAAATAACCAAGATAACTACAAAATTTATCTAAGATTAAAATGACTTGTCACCATTGTATCTAATATTATCAATTATTAAGATTGTAAGCACAACAGAACAGATAGTCTAAATGAAAATTATATTTAAAAAAAGTTAAAATTTGCACTACAATTCATAATAATTTATAAATAAATGGTAAATTATAGCGATATTGCACAGTATATAATACTATATATAATATATAACTATTATTTCTCATTATTTTTCATAAAATCTATTTTTAATTTTTTTTTTATCAATCACGCATGCTTACAGGGATAAAGTTAAATAATTTACGGAAAAGTATAATCTACATGTTGTAAGGAAAATAACGTGTTGGTATTTATTCAATTTATTATTTCACGTTTATTTCACATACGTAATAATTCGTTATACAGATACAATTTGGTGATGTGTAATACAGTATTTCTTTTGAATTATTATATATTATACTCTTGCGAGTGTACATAAAAAATATTTTAATTACGGGATTTACATAAAATATTGGGGGGGAACAGCATGAACATTTAACTCACGGTTTGTAGAATGGTATGTGGCGGGACGATGATGGCAATGAGCATCCACGTACAGTGGCGCGATCACGGCGGCACGGTAATAATTGATTATTACCGGCGTGAACGGCTCGACATTCGGTAACCAACAGTGACTCAGCTCTGCGTGGCGGTATGTTGGTTTTTTCGACTGGTGGTGTGCAGGACAAATTCAACTCTCCCGGCAAGAGGTAGGTCAATGATCGAACAGCGGCGGCTATGGCTCGACGTTCTCGACAGACGGTGAGTAGATGGTTGGACGGCGGCAGCTACGGCTCGGCGTTCACAACTTCAAACAGGTCGGCAGACACGTGGTTTGGACGGCGGCAGCTTCGGCTCGGCGTTCTCAAATCGACGGTGGCGACGAGTTACGGGTACAGCACAGTGGTCGGACGGCGGCACAGGAGTCGGTTGACCTTCTCGGACGGGCGGTGACGAACAACTGATCGGACGACGGCGGCGACGGCTCGGCGTTCTCGACACGTGATGGTCGGTAGCGTAGGGAGTGCCGGGAAAGACTGTACAATGTCCGTTATCGGCGGTCAAAAAAGACCGTCCGGCTCATTGAGTCTAGTGGGCAGGAATTGCTGTATTAGAGTTTCGAAATTAGCATCCGTTCTCGGCGGCAATAAATACCGTCCGGCTTGCCATTCTCGCTTCTCTCAGCTGGAGAAAAGTGTGTACGGCGGCCAGCGGCCTGTATTTATGCCATTCGAGGCTCGCTGGTCCCGTCTCGAATATTATCTGACACCTTGCGTGATTCGAAACTGCAGGTTATTGTTCAGAGTGTTTGGAGATTATCAGATTATTGTGAAAATAACGCTGATTTTGAATATGTTCGTAACGTTTTGATAGCTCTATTGGTTCCCACGGAAAACTCAGGTTTTCCGTGGGCGGCATGCGTTGTTTAATCATTGCGCGGCGGAGCGCTATCTGTGGTTTGCGGTTGCGGTTGGGCGGTCGACGTTTCTACGCGGCGGGCGATGTTTGACCGTAGGTAATGATCACAACGAGAGTGCGCCACGTTAATGGCCACACCGTTTTGTCTCATTACAATGTGTAACGGATATGAATAGTTTTAATATATTGGAACTATTTTTTATAATGATTTACATTAATAAATTAAAGGATGTTCATTTAGTTCATACGTTACAGCTAATAAATATGAAAATTCTTGAAAATCCAAAATTTAAAAAACAATAATCAATAATCAGGTTTTTTATCATTATTACCAACATTGTATAGGCAATTAAATTATAGGAAATCATAATTCATGACACCGTAAGAATAACTATTTTTAAGTGACAGGTTATTGGTATTACATAATAATTTGGAATTTTGAAATTTCCACCCAAAATATTAATTTGCACTAGGATGTTTGTATATTTTGTTTTTTGTTTAATCCCTGAGTTGGAGTCAATTCGATTTTATCAATGGAGTTAAATAATTAATGTGCATTAGCCTAATGTGAATTAAAAAGTAATTTGTATGCACTCGATTCCCGAGTTAACTCAATGCTCATTAATAACTGTATTTATATACAAGAGTATACGCAGTGTAAATAAACGTTATTATATTTATACACGTCGTTTTTGAAATTCTATGCGAATTATCGAAATGTATGTCAATGCAATTTCCTACTTATTTTATTTGGAATATCGCAGAATATTACCAGTGGTTGTAGTTATTGTGAATCACTTTCTAATAGGTATACGTCAACAATGAGAAACACATTAAGTATCACATTAACTGTTTTTTAAAACGTTACGCATACACCGTCGTGTCACATAAGTTGCACGGTAAGTTCGAATTACGAGTGTAAAAAATTATGATTAAGTGTGCACACAACAGTAAGTTGTTGAATTCAGAAGAAGAATATCACCGAATTATAATAAATTATATATTGTAAGGTCTTAAGAAGGCATGCATCGTTTTGACAATAAAAAAACCAATTTCGTTTCCTCGACATAATATGATTTCTGTCAAAATTAAAATGTTATTATAAGTAAGATGTAAAACAAATCACGGCGGCGTCGGTACGTGAAAAACAATTGGCCCGTTTCAATTTATGTGTATAATATTATGTAAATTACGAAATCGTTATATCGCTTGTTGAACGTTGATAAAGTATGGTAACGGTTATCTTAATACCTAATATTATAATATTATAGTATTAGTTTAAAATTAAGATAAAATATTATTATCGTTTCAATCGGAGACGATTGGGGACCCGTTAAAACGGTAAAAATTCGATCGCTGTTGCATTGTCCCACTGCTCAAAGGAGCGTGGTAAGAAATAGGTTCGCATGGTGGCGTAAAACGTACAAATTATCGGAGATTTGTCGTAGTAATCCAAACGCGGGGCACACTTGTTACGCTCTAACCGATATTGACCTACTGAAACTTGTCGCCGGTGATATATATTACATACACACACAAACCCGTGTGTGTGTGTGTGTGTGTGTGTGTGTAAGGGTGGTCGCGACGCGGAACGGATGGCGACGGGGGATGATCAATTGAAACGTAAACGTCGCACTTTTATACCCGCCGAGATCGCTGCAAAGTTTCCGGAATTACAAAAGTAGTGCCTTCCGGGTGTAATGTAATAGTCGCGCGCGCCACGCCACCGTTTCAATGTGAATTTATATAAGACCGTACACACACACACACACACACACACACACACACACACACACAATATATGAGTACAAGTATATGTGCGAGTTTGCGTTTCCGGTCGTCCACGAGGGACGTCGGCGTCGGCGGGGTTAGTGGGACGGAGGACACGTCGAGATTTCCATACACACACGTATATATATAATGTGTGTACGAGGGCAGACGGGTCGCCCGAGAGTGCTGGGCGATTTGTCTTTCGGGCCAACTTCTGCGTAATTGCTCG